AACAACATGTTGGCAAAACTATGGAAAAAAAGGAACTCTTATACACTGTTGGTGGGAATGTAAATTAATCTAGCACTATGGAAAAGCAGTTTGAGATTTCAAAAGAACTAAAATAGACCTAGCATCTTAACCCGGTAATCCTATCATTTACAAGAGTCAAAAGGAAAATAAATGTTCCACCAAAAGACACCTGCCCTTATAACGCTTATCACAACACTGCTCAAATAGCAAAGATAAGTGGTGATTCATGCCTGAAACCCCAGCACTTTGGGAGGCTGGGGGTGAGGATCACTTGAGTCCAGGAGTTCAAGACTAGCCTAGGCAAGAAAGTGAGACCGCTATCACTACCAAAAAAATTTAAATTAGTCAGGTGTTATGTCACATGCCTGTAATCCCAGGCACCCAGGTACTTGGGAGGCTGAGGCAGAAGGATCGTTTGAGCCCAGGAGTTTCAGATCGCAGATAAGACAGCACTCACTGCATTCCAGTGTGGATGAAACAGCCAGACCTGTCTCAAAACTAAACAAAATAAAAATATAAAAGGTGCATAGAATCAACTGAGGTGTCCATCAATAGTGGATTGATAAAAGAAAATGTGGTGCATATAAGTCATGGAATACTACACAGGCAGAAAATAAAAGAACAACACCATGTCCTTTGCAGCAACATTTATTCTAGTTCGAATTAATCCAGAAGTAGAAAACCAAACATTGCATGTTCTCACTTGTAAGTGGGAGCTAAACCCTTGGTATACATGGACATAAAGATGGGAACAAGAGACACTGAAGACTCCAAAAGGAGAGAGGGAGGGAGAGGAACAAGGACTGAAACCTCCCCATTGGGTACTATGTTTACTGGAGGACAGATTCAATAGAAGCCCAAACCTCGGCATCATGACATACTCTTGTAATAAACCTGCACATGTAATCCGTGAATTTAAAATTTAAAATTTAAATTTTAAAAAAATGAGCAATTCAGGAAAATAACCCCTATCTCTGGGGTCTAAGGTACTAACTGCTGAAAATCAGTGACCTTCGATAGCAAAAAGTGGCAGGAAAGTGTAGTTCTCCAGAGAGCGGCAAGCTATACCAAGGCAGGGGAGGCCAGGAAGAAAAGAGGCTGATTTATAGCCGGAGAAAGGAGGTCCTGGGGCTCCAGAGGACTTGGCGGGTGGGCGCCAGTGAAGTGGGGGAAAGAGGAGAGAACAGTGCCTTGGAGATGGAGAGTGAGAGGGAAATGTCGCGGTTACGTGCTGGAAGGCAGCCAAAGATCCCAGCAGCAGGAAGGCCTCTCTCAGGCTGGTGCACAAGTGAGATCCTGAGTCAGATAGAGGCTAAACACGCGGCTTTGCTCAGTGGCCAAATGGAAGACTGCCAAGAAAGTCAGTGAATAGCTCAGAAGGCAATTCTCCCTACTTCCCACTGAAATCAACAAGAGCTCAGCAGACCCAAAGGCACAAAGCCCTAGGGACTGGAACCAGAGAGGCAAAGTGACCTAGCCCTCACACAGCTTCACCTTGAAGTTGAAAGGGGGACTTTAGCTGGACCATAAACATGGACCTTGTACAGACCACAGAAACAAAAGAGGCAATCAATGGATTAGTATCCAGAACACACAACTACAGCACATCACTAAGAAAAATGCAGCCCAACGGAAAGTGGGTGCGGTGACAGACGGGCGACTCAAAGGAAAACTGCAAATGGTACAAACATGTGGAAGAGTCTCAACCTCACTGGCAATCTCAACCCGAAGGAAGGGAGAGAAGGACAAGATACAGATGATAGGCGTAATATGAAAATACTTCAAGGCCAGGCAGTGGGCTTTCACTGCATCCCAACACTCTGGGAGGCCGAGGTAGGTGGATCACTTGAGCTTAGGAGTTTGAGACCAGCCTGGGCAACAAGATGAGACCCTGTCTCCACAAAAATACAAAAAAAGTCCAGTGACAGTGGTTCACGCCTGTAATCCCCAGCACTTTGGGAGGCCGAGGCGAGCGGATCACGAGGTCGGGAGACCAAGACCATCCCAAGCACATGATGAAACCCCACCTCTACTAAAAATACAAAAATTAGCCAGGCATGGTGGCGGGCACCTGTAGTCCCAGCTACTCGGGAGGCTGAGGCAGGAGAACAGCGTGAACCTGGAAGGCAGAGCCTGCAGTGAGCCGAGATCGCACCACTGCACTCCAGCCTGGGCGACAGAGCGAGATCTCCATTTCAAAAAAAAAAAAAATTTTTTAATTTAACAATTAGCCAGGCATAGTGGCATGTACCAATGGTCCCAGCTAATCAGGAGGCTGAGTTTGCAGATAACTTAAGCCTAAGAGGTCAGGAGGCTGTAGTCAGCCATGTTCCCACCACTATGCTCCAGCCTGGGTTACAAAGCAAGACTCTGTCTTTAAAAAAAAAAAAAAAAAATTGCATATATGGTATATGGGTATTATTTATGCAAATATATTTGTTAGTACAAAACATTTAAATGGACTAAAGCTTTGGTTCTGGATATGATGGCCTGAACACACCCTCCATTCTTGCTTCCACTGGAATGCAGCTTTCATAAATTCCAAAAGAGAATACATGAAGCAGCTATTTGAGGACTCTGGAAAAGTGAAACAGTGGCAGGCAGATAGGAAGATGACGAAAATTTTAAGAATCACTAAACCAGCAGTGAGTTTTACTACTTTTTCTCTAGTGTCCCGGCCTGACTTCCAAGCGGGAGCTCCAAACTCCAGAAGTAGCCCTGGAGCTTGGGCTAGACAGCACTGGTGAAGAAGGTTCCTAGTGAGGCTCAAGGAGTGGGAAAGGAGTTCTGCCAGCAATTCAAGCACGGTGGCAGGCATCCTTATGTAACCCAAATCGCTGTGAGAAAAGGCATCTTTCCTTATACTTGAAAGCTCCAAGAGCTTCTCAACTCCTACCGCAGGGGTGGATGAAGGCACAGTTGCAGGCACTTAGACACAGCAGGGCATATGGGAAACCTCAGCATTGGGTGTGGGGGACTAAAAAGGCAGTCCTAAGACAACTAAAATGTACCCTAGAGTTAACAGCTCAGAAAAGGACCTCACAAAGTTGTTTATAAATTCCTGGCCCCATCCCCAAGTTGTGCCTGTGTGGATCTGATCACAAACAGCATCTGAAAGACTCTTAACTGAAAATCCAGACCACCCAGGTCTCAGATTGGCCACTGGGCTAGCATCACAAGGCAGTTCCAATAGCACTGTAAAGACTCTTTTGAAAACAGGACAACACACTCAAAGCAAACAGAGAAGAGGCTGGCTGAATTGACTCAAGGTTGACTGCTTGTGAAAATATAAACACCAGCATTTCCTAGGGATTTGGAAATAAGACCAGCAAGATCACATAAATGTCCACAGGATAAATCCAAATTACTTGGGTATATGAAGAAACAGGAAAATCTAAACTCACATGGGAAAAAACAACCAAGAGACATCGTCAGGATGACACAGATGCTGGGAAGCACCTGGGCAAGCAGACTTGACAGAAGCTCTTACTTTAAAAAGTGTCTACAGCAGGGCATTGTGGCACATGCCTGTAGTCCCAGCTACTCAGGAGGCTGAGGTAGCTGATTACTTGAATGCCTAGGAGTTTGAGGCCAGCTTGGGTAATGTATGTAGAGACTTTGGCCCTGAAAAAAAAAAAAAAAAATTAAAACGGAAAGATGCTCTAAGAAGCCACAACACTCAGAACGAACGGTGTGAGTGGCAGAATCTTACACTGCCCTCCTGCAAGATTTCCTGCCCTAACTTCTGGGACTATAAAATTACCACACGCCTGATGATGCCATTGTCTGAAAGGAGGCATTCTGTAGATGTAATTGGTGTATGCTGACTCAAGAGTTATCAAAAGGAGTTTATCCAGGTATGCCTAATCTAAACACACAGATCTATAAGAAGCAGGTCTTGCCTTCTTAAGTAAATTTTAACAAAAGAATAAAAGCAGAGTTTCATCCTTTGCTGGTAGATTTGGAGGGAAGTCTCAGAGACTGGAAACGTGGGAAGGATTCACAATGAGCGACTGTGGCTAAGATGTCTTCCTGTGAGAAGTAATGCAAGTTGCCCCAGCAGCTGACCCACAGCTGACTAGCCAGCCGGGAAACAGGGAACTTGGTCCTAGAAACCAAGACACTGGACTCTGCCAGCAACTTCAAAGTGCCCAGAAGTAGATTCCTCCCACAGAGTCTCTGAAAAGATCCCGCCTGGAAACACCTCACTTTGACTCCATGCAGAGAACCTCTCAAACCCACTCACTGACTTACCAAACTAAGGAACAATGCAGGAAGTTTTAGCCACTGTTGGTGACAATTTGTTACACAAAAATAGAAAACAAATACAGATTTTAGTACCTGGTGGTGTGCTACTTACAATAAATACTCTATTTAAATTCATTTTGACATAAATTCACGAAGTATCATGCACAGTATTTGGGACTCACTGATTGCCTAAGGTAAGAAACATTCTTCCTTAGATTTATTTTTCTTTTTTTTTTTTTTTTTTTTTTTTTTTTGAGACGGAGTCTCGCTCTGTCGCCCAGACTGGAGTGCAGTGGCCGGATCTCAGCTCACTGCAAGCTCCGCCTCCCAGGTTCACGCCATTCTCCTGCCTCAGCCTCCCAAGTAGCTGGGACCACAGGCGCCTGCCACCTCGCCCGGCTAGTTTTTTTTTTTTTTTGTATTTTTAGTAGAGACGGGGTTTCACCATGTTAGCCAGGATGGTCTCGATCTCCTGACCTCGTGATCCGCCCGTCTCGGCCTCCCAAAGTGCTGGGATTACAGGCTTGAGCCACCGCGCCCGGCCCCTTAGATTTATTTTCTAAAAGGCTATTTAAGAGACAGTATACTCCCTTAACTTCTCCAGTCAATTTATTTCTTCGAGTATTTAGAACTACCACCAAAATTAACTGTGTTTACTTGAAGAGAGGCCCAATCAGCACAGTCTAATTAATATGTACATAGAATTAACTTGTTAACATTATCCACCATACACTTTGAGTTTGGTGCACTGTCCTGGCTTCAAGTCTCCCAGAAGCTGCAATATGGTGTCCAACAGCACCCGGCTTGAATTAACCAAGAATTCACGACCACATGCTATGGCAGCAACATCTGCAACAGAAAATGAAACAAAGCATCAAGATCAGATGACTTCAGAACCTAGACAATTTTGTGCAGAACAGAGTATTTGTTGCTGTTTTTCTTCCAAAAGACCTAATGAAAACACAGCTGACAATGAGACATATAAAAATGAAACTGCTAGGCATGGTGGTTCACACCTGTAATCCCAACATTTTGAGAGACTGAGGTGGGAGGACTGCTTGAGTCCACAAGTTCAAGACCAGCCTGGGCAACAAAGCAAGACCCTATCTCTACAAAAAATGTAAAAATTAGCTGGGCATGGTGTGTGCACCTGTAGTCCTAGCTTTTCAGGAGGTGGAGGCAGAAGGATTGCTTGAGCCCAGGAGGTAGAGGCTGCAGTGAGCCATGATCACATCACTGCACTCCAGCCTGGGTGACAGAGCAAAGCTCTGTCTCAAAAAAAAAAAAAAAGTATTATAACAAAAGTGACAGCCCAGAAAGAATCACTGACAACCAGAAGAGTTACTGAAATATTAAGTCATGTGCACTGTAATTAGCAAGCACCTAAAGAGTGAAACAGAGCCCTGGAATCTAACCATTTCTGCAGTCACTATGCTCTGGAGTGCTGCATTAACCTGCTGTGGGCAGGCAGAGTCCAAACATAAGGTGGGGGCTAACTGTCTTATCTGGGACTGAGGATGTGAAAATTCACTTTTAATAAGATCCATAATCTGGCCAGGCGCGGTGGCTCAAGCCTGTAATCCCAGCACTTTGGGAGGCCGAGGCAGGCGGATCACAAGGTCAGGAGATCCAGACCATCCTGGCTAACACGGTGAAACCCCGTCTCTACTAAAAAAAAAAATACAAAAAGCTAGCCAGGCGAGGTGGCAGGCGCCTGTGGTCCCAGCTACTCGGGAGGCTGAGGCAGGAGAATGGCGTAAACCCGGGAGGCGGAGCTTGCAGTGAGCTGAGATCCGGCCACTGCACTCCAGCCTGGGCAACAGAGCGAGACTCCGTCTCAAAAAAAGAAAAAAAAAAAGATCCATAATCTGAAAACCCAAAATCCAAAATGCTCCAAAATCTAAAAATTTTTGAGCACTGACAAAGATGCACAAAGGTCATGCTCACAGAGCATTGCAGATTTCAGATTTTTGAATTAGAGTGTTGAACCAGCAGGTATAATGCAAGTATTCCAAAATCCAAAACACTTCTGGTCCCAGGCATTTCAGATAAAGAATATTCAATCTATATTTGCTAATAACTTTTAGCCATGATACAAAACTGAAATCTCATGTAGTCAAAAAAGAGTATGAAAACTGATTTTGAAGAAAACTTATTTTCTCAATTTTATGTCCCACTGTGGATCAGCAAGTATCCCATTTCCTCATGCCTGAGAACTTGCAAATCAGCCTGAAGACCAGACCAAGTAATTACACTGCTCCCAGTGGGCAGCGCTGCAGACATCTCCAGATGCTGGAGAGCAGCAAACTGTCCCTGCCAAGCCTGACCAAACTGCAGACCCATGAGCAAAATAAATGTTAAGACTTTATATTTTGAGGAGGTTTGTGACACAGCAACAGAAAACAAAAACATTACTAATACATCGCTGAAGAAAAAATATATATATATATATATAAAATAGCAAACAACAATGCCCAACACAACAAATGTACTGGTAAATGAAGTCTGTATCATACATCCAGTATTGTAACTGCAAATGCCAATGCTGCATTTCATTAAATACCACTAAAACATGAACTACAAAGTAAAATAAATGTGAATAAATTCCTACACAGACAGCTTCAGTACTTGTCAATCTGTTGGAATTTGTTTGTTTTACATGGTAATTTGTACTTTGCTTACTGATATTTAATCTATCTAGAATGCCTGTGAGTCAATTCAAGGCCTATAGAATTGACTTTGTTACCATCTACCAAAACTAAAACACTGCCAGTTAATTTTTCTGTTAAAATGGTTTTTCTAGGTTCATTTTTCATTAAAAGTGTTTATAGGTAATTCTAGAGGTTAGCATAGTAATTACATAATTTAAGAAATGGGGCCAGGTACAGTGGCTCCCACCTGTAATCCCAGTACTTTCAGAGGCCAAGGACGGTGGATCAGCTGAGGTCAAGAGTTTGAGACCCGCCTGGCCAACACGGAGAAACCCCATCTCTACTAAAAATACGAAAATTAGCCAAATGTGGTGGCATGCACCTGTAATCCCAGCTACTCAGGAGGCTGAGGCAGAAGAATCACTTGAACCCAGGAGGTGGAGGTTGCAGTGAGCCGAGATGGTGCCACTGCACTCCAGCCTGGGCAACAGAACAAAACTCAATCTCAAAAAAAAAGGAAATGAATCCGGGCCAAGCACAGTGGCTCACACCTATAATCCCAATACTTTTGGAGGCCAAGGTAGGAGCATCACTTGAACCTAGAAGTTTGAGATGACAACATAACATCTTAGGCAACATAGTGAGACCCCGTCTCTACAAAAAAATAAATAAAAATTAGCTAGGTGTAGTGGCTCATGCCTATAGTCCCAGCCACCCAGGCTGAGGTGGGAGGATTGCTTGAACCCAGGGGCTTGAGGTTACAGTGAATTATGATCACGCCACTGTACTCCAGCCTGGGCGATTAGAGTGAGACCCCATTAAAAAAAAAAAAAGAATCTGGTGTCAATTATTTATGCTGAAAAGGATATACAGAGTTGAGACGTACTATATCTGATACTTTTGCTTTAGACTGTAATAATTTCACCTTATTTTCAGCAATAAAAGTAATAATAGGGTATTGGCAGAATGATTGTCATATAAATCAATGGTAGAATTGAGAGTACAGAAATAAATCCTCACATTTATGGTCAACTGAATTCCAACAAAAGTACCAAGACAAATCAATGGAGAAATGATAAAAGAATAATCTTTTGAATAAATGATGCTAAAACAACTGGATATCCACATGCAAAGGAAGGAAGTTGGATACCTACCACATACCATATACAAATATTAACTCAAAATGGATCTAAGATCTGAATATAAGAATTAAAGCTGGCTAGGTGCAATGGCTCACGCCTGTAATCCCAGCACTTTGAGAGGCCAAGGCGGGAGGATCACAAGGTCAAGAGATCAAGACCATCCTGGCTAATACGATGAAACCCCGTCTCTACTAAAAATACAAAAAAAAAAAAAATTAGCCGGGCATGGTGGTGGGTGCCTGTAGTCCCAGGTACTCGGAAGGCTGAGGCAGGAGAATGGCGTGAACCCAGGAGGCGGAGCTTGCAGTGAGTCAAGATCGCGCCACTGCACTCCAGCCTGGGCAACAGAGAGAGACTCCGTCTCAAAAAAAAAAATTAAACCTATAAAATTCTTTTTTCACTTTTTTGAGACTGTATCTTACTCTGTCACCCGGGCTGGAGTGAAGTGGCACAATCACAGTTCACTGCACCCTCAACCTCCTGAATAGCTGGGACTACAGGTCTGCACCACCACACCTAGCTAATTTCATACTTAACAGACTAAAGTACACTGTAAACATAACTTTTATATATGCTGGGAAACCAAAAAATTCATGTGACTCACTTTATTGTGCTATTTGCTTTATTGCAGTAATCTGGAACCAAACCTACAGTATCTCTGAGGTATGGCTGCATTTGAAAATCGTATCTCTGATAAGGTACTAGCATATTACAAATACTTCTTACCACTCAGTAACAGAAAGGGAAATAACCCAATTAAAATATGGGCAACCAGGAGTTTCTGGTTCCAAATGGTGGCATAGAAGTAAGTTGGCTTCACTGCTTCCCAATAGAAAACCAAAAACCAACATACAGCAGCTCCAAGATTATCAGCAGCAATATCCCGGAACTCAAATATGAGGATCAGACAGCTCCCATGGCAACAGACAAGTGAAAAAAACTCTGAACAGACATTAAGACAACTGAACTTTCATATCTGTGACACCCCTCTCCATAATGTGCCCAGCACCAAGCGTGAGGAAAATTTCCCCAACTCAGTTTCTACACTGGAAAAAGTCAGATGGAGGTAAACAACTACTGTCCCCACCATCTTAGGTTCCCTGGCAGAAGACCTGTCCCTGCTTCAACCCATAAGAAGCACTGTAAGTACCTGAAGGGAAACTATCCCTGAGGATAGCCAGAGGCAAAGTGGGGAAGCAGAACTACCATTCCCAGCCCTGGAAACTCTGCTCTGTAACTTGGCCAGAGAAGACACCAAATCAGAGTGGTCGTTCAGCAGATGCACACAGTACAAGGTATGTCCCACAAGTCCCCTGGGCACAGACACCTTGCCAGTATTTCCACACTGCCAGGTTATCCTCTTTGTGACCTCCCCTATTCGGGATGGGCAACACTCTGATGGTTTTCTACAGCCAAGGTAAACCTGGGCTTAAGGCACCATCTAGTGCCTATAAAGAGGCAGCAACCTTGCAGAAAAAAAGGAAGAAATTCAACAAGTAAATTACAAAGAATCTCTAAGGAAACATATCCAATAAAAACCAAAATAACCCAGACAGACAAGACTGGAATAAATACTCTTTCAATGCAAAGACATAGACATATACCCATAAGAAACAACAGGAAACAGGGAACCATGGCCTCCCCAGACAGACAAAGCCAGGAACCAGTGACTCTCTCTAACAAGATGGCAATATGTGAGCTCTCTGAACAAGAATTCAAAACAATAGTTTTAAGGAAATTCGGTGATTTCCAAGACAACATAGAAAAGTAATTCAGAAATTTGTCAGAGAAATTTAATAAAGAGATTGAAACTTAAAACAATCAAACTGCTGGGCACAGTGGCTCATGCCTGTAATCCCAACACTGTGGGAGGCTGAGGTAGGGGCCTTGGGGCCAGGAGTTTAAGAACAGCCTCAGCAACATAGCAATATCCCATCTCTACAAAAAACATAAAAAATTAACCAAGCACTGTGGTGATCACCTGTAGTCTTACCTACTCGGGAGGCTGAGGGGGAAGCATTGCTTGAGCCCAGGAGATCAAGGTTGCAGTGAGCTA